GCTAGGTCGTGGAATAAGAAAGCAACAGAGGTTCTAAAAGGCCTAGGGTACAGGCAAACTTGTTCCGAACCATGTATTTATACCAAACAAAAGGGTAATTCAATAATTAATATAGCATTGTATGTTGACGACTTCTTCATATTTCACAATGACAATGTTGAAGTTGAGAATTTAAAAAGAAAATTGCAACAATGTTTTAAAGTAAAGGATTTGGGACCAGTTAAGAAATGTTTAGGAATGGAAGTGAAAAGAGATAGGGCAAAGAAAACTATAAAGTTGACCCAAACTCAATATTTGAACAATGTTCTTAAAAGATTTAATATTCCAAATGAGACTAAACCAGTTCCAATGGAACCAAACAGCAAACTGAGACCATTGCCTAAATCAAGAAAATCAACTGAGAATTTAGATAACGTGCCATATCAACAGGCTATAGGATCTTTAATGTATTTAGCCATGTGCACGTGCCCAGATATATCCTTTGCTATGACTTACCTAAGTCAATTTAACACTTGTTACACAAGAGAACACTGGGTATTATTAAAAAGAGTTCTAAAATACCTAAACACTACAAAGGATGTAGGTATTGTATATTCCCAGAACAATGATCAATTGGAAGTAATAAAAGTAACATGGCGAGACTAAAATTACTAGTCTGAGACTAAGGAATGGGCTGCTTGGTCCCTTGCTAGCCAAGACATCTGCATCCTCACTGCCCATGAATCTCACTGTGACCACGGTCCCAGAGGAGGTAACCACGTTCTGACAGGACATACTGCCTGTTGACATCCCCAGACAAGCTTCACTGTTGCCCTCAGTGCCTTGACAGCCCAAAAATCTTTTTTCCTTCCTCACAGGGAGAAGAACCATTTCCCAAATTAAATGAGACCCCTTTTAAACTAATAATTATTGTATTTTGCCACCTAAATTGATTATTTTTCATAGCACAAATTCTTTACATACAGTAATTCTCCAGTATTATCTACATATGTTCATGGTTATACAGCAATGATGCAGTCAACCAGAATTAGGCAGAGGCATTCCATCCACAGAAATGGTACATAACCAAAGGTGAAATAAATATTGAAGTAGGAAGGCTGTATGAGATGTATCCTTCTCCTTACATACCTCTCCCTGATGTGGAGGAAACTCCAAAACCATAATTTAGATTAACTTATTTCAAAGTTAAATTTTTAAGTTATGACTTAATGTCTCTAGCTAAACTGATTACAAACCCATTAATAAATCGATGTTCACAGTAGTATGAATACAATGCACATATTTAGAACAGTAATATCAGCTTCATGATCATTTATACTGATAGCATCAATTTAAATGAGAAGTATATTGTTAACTCAGGACACTTCCCTGTGCTGTCATGTGTAAAATGTGTGGGGTGCATGCAATCTTCTATTCAGTGGTTACTGTGAATATTTTCTCTGGGAGCAATTGCACTGACCACAATCTTCAGAATGTATGAAACTTTACCCCCAAACCCTTATATTTACCAACAGGTTGTAACATCATTAATTTTGCAGCTATCTGTTCAAATCCCACCTACTGACTGATTATCCTCCCTTAAGTATTTATGGTTCTCCTCATGTTTCCATGTGACTGCCAGAATAATAGCCTGTTACTTCCACCTCCATGCCTCATTTAACATATAACCTCAGGAGTGCTATAATAACCAAAGTCCAGCAAAATGATGAACCTTGAGGAGAGGAATAAAAGGAATACTTGTCTGTTGCTGCACTCACAGGTGTCAACACAAGGTCTTGCAGAGACCTGTGACATCAACTGAAATTAAATTTACAGCATTACTGAACAGTGACAGTTAAAACTTACTCTTGATGATTGTGTGTTTTGTTGGGTTCAGCACACTCCAGATAATTATGGTTGTGTCCAGGCTGCCACTGGCAACCAGCTGGGAGTTTGGAGACCAGGCTACAGTATTGACTCGTGCATTATGGAACCCCCATTCCTTGTTGTGGGCAAGCTAAAATGTGACAATGGATAAGTCTTGGTTTCTTGAACTGTGAATGGTTGCAACCTGCTACAGGGGGTAACCAAGTTCACTAAAATTAGTTAAATATAACTGTAACTATGCAGTTTTTGAAAGTTGGTAAGAATTAATATGGATGCTTTCAGGAGATGTAGCTGCAACAAGTGAACATTTCACAAGTTTTTCATAACTGCTGGAACATTTATAGCTTACTGTAGGTGTAAAGAGGCTGTAAAGCTGTTTAGCTTTCATGATGAATTAATGTTCTAAAACCTCAAGCTGCTCACCTGACAGGATTATAGCACATTTAGGTTCCTGCTGTCATTATATTATATAACTTAACAGGAACCTGCAACAAAGAGCAGAACTGCACTTTTCACTGATCAGCAGAGATGGGTGGAAGGGGGAGGGGAGATTATGTAATTTTTTTTTATTTTAGGGGATATGATAGCAAAGTTTCAGAATCTCTGGGCTAAGTTATATTATTCCATATTTATCATAATGTAGAAAAAGTTTCACTGCATAGTTAATGGCACCTGACTTCACCTATTTTCATATATACAAGGTCTGGCAAATGAATTCCTGGAATGGCCGCAGTTGGCTTGGGTGTTGAGTCAGAAACTCATGTACTCAAGCACATTTGGACGTGTTCCAACATGCATTTATAGGAGCCACATACCAAATGAGTCACTCATTCCCAAGCAGCAGAGGAAGCAGTACATATCTGTGGTATCCTGTTAGCAGAAAAATGAGTGACAAGAATCTGGAGCAGCAGATAAACATAAAGTCCTGACATTCAATGCAACATGACGTTACTGCGAGGTATTCCGGAAAACGATTTTCAAGACCGTTTCCTGGAGTGGTCCCATCGTCTCATAAAGTGCATAGCTTAACACTTTGCAGACCAGTGGCATACTTTTATGCCCAGCACTTTTAAACATGGCGGACTGGTGGCATATTATGATTTTAGGACACGTTATGTTGAAACACACTATACCTTGCACTGCCGCCAGGCAGACGCATGACTGGTGCGCGATAGACCTCTTGAATGTTTGCTTCGTAGTCAATAACATGACCCTGCTGTTTATGACCCAACTGTTTTCCTTTCCCACTCCAAAAGAAAATGTCTGTTCATCTTCCAGCTGCATGCACCAGGCAGGAAGTTACTAGTGCAAAATGGATCAAGGTCAGAAGAGGTTGAGGTCCAAGCATTATCTCGGAGAACAATAAATATCTGACTTGTTCTCTGATGAGCTATCTAACGTCCCTTGTCAGTCTGCTAGTGATAGCGACTCACAATCTGATAGTGAGTGTGGCAGGGGCGAACAAAAAATTGTGGCCACAGACAGTGAAAGTGAAAGTGAAAGTGCGGGTAGCAACATTGCGGGGACAGCCACATGGAGAGAAGTATACAAAATGCCTGCTTTGGGACAGTTTACTGGAAATCCAGGGGTGAAGCAAATTCCATCAGACACAACACAAGTGTCTGAAGTAACAGAACTGTTTTCTGGAGATAGTTTATTTGACACGCTATGTCAGGAAACTAACAGATACTATATCCAACACCATGAACATTATGACAGAAGTTATAAGGCGTTGAGGTGGGTGGATGACACTTCAGCAGAAATGAGAAAATTTTTTGCAATAATCTTTCTAATGGGCCATACAAGGAGGGATAATCTGAAAGAGTATTGGTCAACAGATCCATTTTTATAAATTATAATTTTCGGCAAACAAATGAGCCATAAGAGATTTGAGCAAATTTGGTGGTGTTTGCATTTCAATGATAATGAACTGCAACCACACTCAACAGGCAGGCTTTTCAAAATTCAGGCCTTATTGAACTTTTTCGTCCAATAATTTCAGACAGTTTATAAGCCAAACCAACAACTGTCTTTGAACGAATCTGTGATTCCTTGGAGGGTAAGGCTTTGTATGCGAACATATAATCCTGGGAAACTTACAAAGTATGGCCTACTTGTTCATGTAGTGACTGAAAGCACTTCAGGCTATATTGGAAATTTAGAATTTTCTTCTGGTTTAAGAAAGAAATTACAAGAAACTATTCTTTCCGTTTTGGAACCCTATCTTGATCAAAATTACCATGACTATCATGACAATTATTATAACAGTGTGGCAACTGCAGAACACCTTCTTTCAAGAAAAGTACGTGTTTGTGGAACAATTAGGGTGAACAGAGGCCTTCCTCCAGATCCGAAAGAGGAATCTAAATTCCTGAAACGTGGTGAAACCACATTCAGGAGGAAGGGGGATATTCTTTTTCAGTCCTGGAAGGATACTCGTGTTGTGAATGTGATTTCCACAATTCACAATTCAAACACAGTTGATGTTCAAAGGAGACATGGACAGGTAAAGAAGCCTGTATGTATTTCTGAGTATAATATGTTCATGAAGGGAGGTGATTATTATTCTCTTCCTCAGAAAACAGTAAAGTGGACAAAGAAAGTTGCCTTGTGGCTTATAAATTGTGCCATTTTCAATTCATTTTTGGTTTTCAAAAATCTAAACCCTCATTCAAAATTGAAATACAAAGCATTTCTGATGAATGTGGCAAAGGCCTGGGCTACAGACCAGATGGTGGCAGCAGAACCAGAGTCAGACACAGACTTAGTGCGACCGGGCCCATCAACTCCCACCCCATGCAGGCCTCATGTGGACCCCCCTGGGCGACTCTCTGGTGATATGTGGAAACATACCCTCATGAAAATTGTGAAGAGTGAACGTGCAAGCCTTCTAGGTGATGCCGTGTTTGCGCAGTACACAATAAAAGGAGTATGACGGTCTACATGTGCAAGTTCTGTGTAATGCCACTTCACAAAGGGGAATGTTTCCAGAAATATCACACTCTCAAGCACTTCTAGGAGCATTGGTAAGTGTTCTCCAAAAATTTTAGTTCATAAAATTAATTGGGAGATTTTATATTAATTTTTAAAGTGAACAGTGCACAAGTTAGGGTAGTAGGTTTAAAAATGCCGGTCCCCAGGGTGATTTAAATATTTAAATCGCCGGTCCGCGAAGTGTTAACAAGGAGTGTATTATGATGGTAACACAGCTAGTGCACAGGTAAGCAAATTTTGCTTTCACAGGGCCACTCTGGGAATTAAATTGTCTTCTGGAATGTGATGCCATCTAGTTTGGTACCCTGGAGTTTGAGGCAGGAGACTTTTCTGAAATGTTTGTTGCTCTCTATGAAATCATGCAGCATCACATTCCGGAGGACTACGTCTGTGAATTGGGAGGTTGGATTTTATCTTTTTTTTTTTTAACTACCTCATCCAGCATATACAAGGTGGTTCAAATATGACCGGGACTGATTTCTTCTTTAAACCAAAATTGCCAAACACTTACTTGCACATGTCAGCCTTCAATGTACTCCCCTCCGGAGTCAACACATTTTTTCCAATGTTCTGGAAGCATCCTGATGCCCTTTTCAAAAAAAGTTTTGTGGTTGGCAGCGTATCCACTCCCGAACATTGTGGATGATGGCACTGTTGTCCACAAACTGCATGCCTTGCAAGTCTGATTTGAGCCTTCCAAACAGGTAGAAATCACTTGGTGCCAAATCGGGACTGTATGGCAGATGTGTCAGAAGGTTCCATTTCAATTTCTGGAGGGTTTCCATTGTTGTTTTGGCCGTACTGGTATGTGCATTGTCTTGAAGGAAGGCTACCCGCTTTCCACCTCTCTTCTGCTTGGATTGGATCTTTTCCTTCATGTCTGTTGCCAGGAGGTCTGAGTAATAAGCTGCATTGACTGTTCTGGCATCTGTCAGAAAGTCTACATGGATAACCCCCTGCCAGTCCCAGAAGAACGTTGCCATCACTTTTCCTGCCGAACGGCTCCTCCGCGTTCTCTTGGGTTTGGGAGAACTGGTATGACGCCACTCACGTGATGATTGCTGGGACTCGGGAATGAAGTAATGCACCCACGTTTCATCGGTGGTCACTATAGACTTCAAAAATGGATCACCTTCATCTTCAAACTGCTGTAGGAGACGACTGGCAACTTGCATGCACGCCATTTTGTTCACGTCTGTCAAAGTGCGTAGTACCCACCGTGCATTCACCTTGCAATAGTGCAGGTGGTATTTCGTGATGTCTTCTACACTACCAACACTGATGGACAGCACTGCTCCAAGTTCCTTGATAGTGATGCGCCTATTCTCACGAATAAGTGCGTCTGCACGATCAATGTTTGGCTTGGTGACAGATGTTCACGGCCGACGATCATGCGGTTCGTTCTCCACGTGCTCTCTGCCCTCTCTGAAGCACCTACACCACTCAAACACATGGGTCTGTGAGAGACACTCTTCCCCATACTGTTGTTGGAGTGTGTGGTGAATTTCAGCAGACGAGACTTTTCTCCAACGAGGAATTTGATCACAATGCGTTGTTCCACGTTCCGCGGTACCTTCTGTTCACTCATCACTCTAGCAACTTCCAAACAGGACTAAACACGTTCTAACCCTAAGAGGAGGGAGGGTGGAGGTTGTGGCTTCACTCTCTCAAGGTCGCACAGCTGCTGCGCAGTGCGACTTGTTTACAAAAAAATCAGTCCTGGTCATATTTGAACCACCTAGTACTAAGAGCAAATTTTTCCAGATGCCTTTTTAAGTTTTAAGTTTATTTAAAATCTCATGTATGAGTACAGTAAACACCCAGTTATTTGGAATCCAGTATTCTGGAATTCTTTTCCAACCAACAAACATGCAAAAAATCACCATTTTTATGAAGTTATTAAAAAACACGTGTGTGATGCACGTATGTTCACCTGCCACCACTGGTAGCAATGTGTCATCTTCCCTTGTGCAGATGCCATTACAGTATAAGTTAGTTGAATTTTGATCACATTACAATATATGTATCAGAAATCTTTCATACATCAGTATGTTGTGCCACTTGGGAAGACTCCCATGCAAGAATTAAAGAGAAAAATAAATTGTTTTGACTTGTAGTGTGTTTCTATAAGTCTTTATGCAACCAGTAAATTCATGTAACTGGCAGACCCCTTTCCCCATAAATGTTGGATAATTGAGGGGGGGGGGTATGGAGAACAGATTTTGGTGCCAGTGGTTGACCAGTGTTTCCACCACACAAAGTAAAATTCCAGTACCATATTTTTTATTTACAAAATTACCTGACTCTAATGAAGTATATTAATAGTTAACTACATTGCAGACATATTTCAAGCTGCATAGCCCACACCATAAAGTATAAGATGTTGTGAAACTGACATGTACTAGAAATTGTCTAACAAACTGTGTTTTGAGTCACACTGGTCTACAGTATACTAGTACTGCCAGCACACAAAGATTAAGTAGTGTTCTCATAAATGCATTTGTGACACAGACACCTTCTGATTGGATGGTATGTACTGTTAAGAATACTGACTTCTGTCATGGATGCTGTTTAATTCCTAATTATGGTTTTACAGCCTTTGCAGACTTCTGACTCTGTATCTGGAATTCTGTACACCTACCAGACAAAACTGTACTGCATACTCAAACAGCATGATGGAGATGGATCAGATTCAGAATCATATACTTAACCATGGGCTGACTGTAAGAAGCTTTGGTACTGGATATAGTAAACACTTGTAGTTAAAGGTTACATTTAATTTCTAACCTAGTAACTCACTCTCATCACTTCTAGACATAACTGTACACACAACATATATAGTATAACAAGGTACTGAATTTTGTAGTACTTACTTTCTGCATGATTTCCAGGATTGCATTAGTAGGATAGAAGTGAAGCATGCGTGGTTATTGTTATGTAAGCATAAGCATCCAATTACAGTAACAGTGCATGAAATCAGTTCTGAACCTATCAGGGGCAATGATGAAGATCTATATTTTGGATTTCCAAATTTGAGGCTTCAAGGTTTTTCTGTGCCACATGAATAAAGATAGGACTATTGCTTTATATTTACAAAATGCATCTTTTGCATTACAAATTTGTTTAGAAAATGAATAACTGTTAACATTGATGGACCATTACACATGTATTCACTGATGTTTTGTATGCCTGTTACATAATATTACTTCCAACATGGAATACCGTTTTACATAAACTATAAAGTAAAATGATTATTTTTTCCTCCAAGTATTTTAATCTAATCTGTAATGTACTGATAAAACTTTTGGTGGCATAAAAATGCATCTAGAAGCTTCAGTGAAAGGATAATATTAAAATTAATTCAAGTGAAATCAGCTCTGAAGTTGTGAAGTGGAATGAATTGAACTGTTACCTATTACATTTTTCTGCACATCAGGACAGGATACTTTAGCAGGCTCTTATGATATAAATCTTTGGATTCCATAACAGGGCAATTCCTGATCGGCTATGTGACTATGATCTGCTACATACCCATGTTATAGGAAGACTTAAAAAGAGGGGAGGAAGCGATTATTGAACACAGGAATGTAATCGATATAAGAAATTTAAACTGGATCCACACTATGCCTCAACCAATTTAGATGAATATTTCTAATATAAATTACTGTAAAAATAAAAAAGTTACAATATTATATTTAAGCATCCTGTTGCACTCCATACGATAAAAAAAGTTATTTATTGAATTACAATAGAATTGGCCAATACAAGACTAAACTAACTGAAAACCCACAAAGATGTCCACAGATACACTTTCAGAACAACCCTGATATCTTATTCAAATCAATGAACTTCTTTGGTGTGGAGTTCTGAAAACTACTGTTCAGTACATTAATTCCTGCTTCATATCAATTAATTTCTTAAATTGTGGCAAATTTCCTCAAAGCAAGAACTGTGAACATAGCGGAGACCACTACCAGGGAACGGCTCTGCAAACATTCCCGTTCCTAGGCAACATCTTTGTAATGCAACAGTGGATTACCTGGGAAGCAGTGTTCTCTATGTGGCCCATGCTCATAGCTATGTGATGTAACAATGGAAGAACTGTTGGGGGAGGTCCCAAGGCTACATAAGTAATTGATTGTATGCCAGAAGCCAGCCAATTCAAATCAGGAGCTGCAGCTGAGAGGTGACAATCAGCAAGAACAGGAGCCGGTGGACACAGAAGCCGCCACCAAGCAGTGCATTGAAGACCATGACTGAGAACACTAGTCTGTGTGTGATAGTGATTTGTAAAGTGCAGTCATCAGTTGTGTGTTAAAGAGTTCAATAAATCTGATTACCAGTCCAAACCCTGTCTGTTGTCACTCTATCATGTGACAACTGATGTCAGAATTAGGATTGGATTGATTGATTAATTGGGTAGATCACAGCAGATATTTGTATTGTCACACTACGAAGATAGAACACGTAATGGAACACATGTTGGTGGAAATGAAAAATAACCGAGAAAGGATGGAAGTGAATATGGAGGCCAATAATGAGAAGGCTGAGGTCCCTCAAAATAAAATATGAACCATTCAAGGTGAGATGAAGGCCATGCTGGAGGCCTGTTTACAAAAGATGGAGGCAAATCCAGAAGAAATTAAGTCTGTAGCAAAGCATCAGTTAGCTCCTAAAGAAGAGGCCACAGTGGAGAAATATCGGAGCACTGGAGGACCAATATGGGGACTCGCATCCAACCATAAGGCACCGTGGACGGTTGAAGAAATGGATCCAGGGCGATGGTGGATCACTGCAGAAGGTGGCTGGTGCCCACAGATGATTGACCCACTGTGCTATTCGTGCAAAGGGATGTGGTTGTAGGGGACCTGGCAAGACACTGGCAAAGGGATTGGAGGATGAAGCTGGATACAGAAGGTATGTCTGAGAAGCAAGGAGACATTCTGTGAGGACCTCATACAGATCCTCGGGCTGGGGGTCGTGAAGTGAGGAGTTGGGTTTTCCATAGGGATGCCAAAAATGAGTGACTGGACATTGTTGAGGAGTCAGCCCCACTCGAAGAAGAGACTACTAGCCAGTTGTGTGTTGGCGCTGTAGGAGCACCAACCACTTCCAGATATTCTTGCCCCATAAACGGAAGGAATGGTGACATCTTAGGCCACTTGGATGAGCAGCCTTAACGAGGAAGCAACGTGGCATATTTGCTCAAAACAAGAACTGTGAAGCCAGCAGAGACAGCTGTTGCAACACACAGCAATGGAGTAACTGTGAGGCAGTGTTCTATACACGGTCTGTGCCAATAGATAGTTTCTATGTGGTCTGTGCCAAGGCTACATAAGGAGTCGATTATGAGTTGAAATCCAGTCAGTTCAGCTTGGGAGCTATAGCTGAAAGGTGCCAGCCAGTGAGGACAGGAGCTGTTGCACATGGAAGCCAAGGATGCTGCACCACTGGAAACCACAACCAAGCAGTGCAGTGAATACTAGTCTTTGCGTGACAATAATTTGTACAGTGTAGTCACGAGTTGTGCGTTTAAGAGTTCAATAAAGCCAATTACCAACCCAAACTCTATCTATACTCACTTTACCACATGACAATATATATGCAACACATTAAAAGAATGCATCTTCTCTAATAAACAGCATATTCGAATAAGCCCAAACCTGAAAGCTTTAAAACCAAGGCCTGTTACCACCTCAAAGCACACTCGAGCAACTCGGAAGACCCAAACATTATAAATGACTGGGCTGAAATTCTAAATGACTATTCCCAACATTACAGCATGAATAAACTGCGAGCAGAATGGGAAGAAGGATAAATACCACCACATTCACGTCATAATGTGATGTATTTGTAATCAGAATTTAGGGGGTGGACTTAATAATATTATGTATTTCAGTCATTGTCAGAACTTTTGAGTATCCATTAGAATGAACATTTTTAAGATTCTTGTTATATTGAGACTGCACTGTGAATGTGATGCTGTCTGCATTGTAGTTGTCACTTGCTTCTAGAAAATTCTGCTAAGTTCTATAGTAAACAGAACATGGCTATGTACAAGCATGTTCATAATGACTCTTCGCAGGACTGTGACAAAGAGTGATTCACTATACCATAATTCTGTTCATATTAATCTATATTCTAAGATGTAGTTGTTTAATATGCATAATTTTTGGAAGCTGGCTATATCCTGATCTTTATGCGCCTGACTGCCATTATACTGAGAACTTAATATACAAATTTACTATTCAAATTTTATACTGACTAATGCCAAATCTCAAATATAACAATAAAAACAACCACTCACTTGAAAGTGGGAGGAGGCCCAATCTTCAAAATATCATGTATATAAAAATACCCTAAACAATGAAGAGTGTCCAATGTAACTATCATTTAAGCATGTTTGTGTCAGAACCTCAGGCTGCTGAAGCATTATGGATGTACATCATGTGGAAATAGCAATGGTGTGGTACTGATATGCAAGGTGTCTGCACTTCTTTATTACCTGGTAATCTGGAAGTTTGTAGAGGATGACCTTCCGGTTGGCATCACATGCCACCAGGTACTGGCTGTCTGGTGAGTATGAACAGTCTGTTATAGGGCCAAGATGTTCCAATTCTGCCTTTGGGCTTAGGTTTGATCCCAGCAGTGTATAAATGTGAATCTAAATTCAGACAAAATATAATGAAATTACTTTGGCACAATCTCCAAAGAAATTTTCTTCCTCTTCCAGACACTTACTTATTCACTCTGGATCCTGTATACAGCACTGAATAGTTCTGAAATGTGTACCAGAAATCAGGTTGGAAAACATTATGGAAAGGAATACTCAGGAAAACAAGATATGGATGGATGTGTTACATTACAGGTTGAGAGACTGTGAGACAAATGAAAGTGACTGTGCAGGAGAAGTTTCATCAGTACAACTACAGTATATAACTGAATTACTTAAATACAGTTTTTGATGGACTTTTGCGATGGTAGTACCAAATTTTTAAGTTTTACAAAACATGGGGCTTCTGCAGCAGTAACTGCTGACTATCTTGAAATATCTTGTGTTTGAGACTTATCATAAACTGTGGTCATAATTGGTATTGGAACCATTTTAAGGTCAAATGAAGGTTCAGAAATATTAATGGCACTATACATAAAAAAATGTTTAAACTCATTTGATGGCTCTGTTCAGTACAATGACTACTGATACTTTGGTTCCATTTGTTGATGGTACTGGAGGAAAACAATATCCATTTAAATACAAGAAAGATGATGGTACAAAGGAAAACCTATTCTTTTACTCAATGTATGAAACTGCTAGATGTAAAATTGCTACATCAGTTAAATATAAATGGAAACCCAGACTGAAAGTACTTTATTGTCCAAAGTTCCTCCTACTGCTACATCTGGGTGTGTGCTGTTGATGGACACACATGAAGGTTCATAAGCGACAGGAAGGCTGGTCACTTTCCTTCCTCCTTGCAGAACTGATATCTGTGGACAACATATCAAGAATCAATTCACCTAGATAAATAGCAAATAAAACACAACTTTAGCATATGTTCAAACTTATCATGACATTCATGTCTCATTTAGCATTCTGCAGTCTGATGATCACATCCTGTATGGACTGTCTTGTTATTTACCATCTGATAATGCAACACACATAATATAATGTGTATTTTAAATAAATTATTAATTTAATTTCCATTTATATCTCTCATGGTGAAATTCATTTATGGATCATCAGAGAAATTTAAGATGTCAGCCAAATTAAATGATTTATCAGTTATGTTTGTGTGGTAGTTTTATATTGAATTATGAATTGGGGGGATACAAAAGCTGTTCTAACCTATTTTAAGGTAATATCCTGACATTTATTCAGAGGATGTGACAAAAACCATGAAAAAATATCATCTCATATTTTCATAAATTCCACATTTAATAAGAGATGTCTTTTTTGAAGTCCTAACTTCAACACTATACACAGAGGGGTACTACTATTATTCCCACAGCCACCATAATCATATAGACAACAGGGGGAAAAAAATTACAATGACATGCTGCTCATACAGATGTTCATGAAAACAGATCAGTTAGTGTAAGATTTGAGGCTTTCACGGCAGTGACTATGAAGAAAGCAGTCTTCTGGGATTTGGCACCATGTATATGTGGTGTTAACCGACGTTTCGGAGGAACGTATCGCCTCCATCTTCAGGGTAGAAGGAAAAATATAAGAAATCCGCAAGCAAAGAGACTGTGAGAACTGGTAAAAGCAGACGGTCTCTTCGCTTGCGAATTTCTTATATTTTTCGTTCTACCCTGAAGATGGAGGCGATACGTTCCTCCGAAACGTCTGTTAACACCACATATACACGGTGCCAAATCCCGGAAGACTGCTTTCTTCAGATCAATTAGTGTCTGAAAATGAAAGATGGAATGGGCAGGCAGGCACTGACAGCCATGGAACTAACCAATATGTTTTCTGATGATGAAATGTGATATAAAATCTGTTTCTGCAGCAAGAAATATGTTTCATATGAGATCAGTTTTTATGCCTATAAATACAATGTTTGATCTCAGAAGGAAAAGAAAATTTCTGAAAAAGTGAGTTCTGTAAAATCTACTACTTGCCTATTAACACACGGGGCAGATACTTTGATATGGACTAAGAGAAATGTAAGCAAAGCACAAGCAGTGGAGCTGTCAATTCCACTGAGTATTAAACGATAATAACAGAACATTTTAAAAATAAAATAAAAACAAGTTGGTGAAATTGAAAGTACTATAGTATGGATGTGTTTTATGCATTAATGATAAAAGCATTCTTTAAGAGCATAAAAAATGATGAATAAAGCAGTCTTCTGGGATGTGCCACCATGTAGATGTGGTGTTAACCGACATTTCGGAGGAACATATCGCCTCCATCTTCAGGGTAGAAGTCTGCTTGCACTTGTTCTCACTGTCTCTTCGCTTGCGGATTTTCTTATTTTTCCTTCTACGCTGAAGATGGAGGCGATACGTTCCTCCAAAACGTCGGTTAACACCACATCTACATGGTGCCACATCCCAGAAGACTGCTTTCTTCATAGTCACCACAGTGAAAACCTCAAATCTTACATAAATGATGATGTTCAATAAATGAATACTGGAAAGACCATGCACTAGGTGGACAAAGTGATGGGAGAACACAGAAGAATGGAAAACACTTTGTTACAGCATGATCCTTCCTGGTAAAAACTTCAGTTCATGATCTCAGCAACAATTTTAGTTGTATTACTTACCTCTTTGACAGAAGCGGTGATTATGGTATCATCTTTGACATCCATGCCACGAGGCTGTGAATCCAGCTTGATGTCAGCACTTGTATAGTTATTAGAGCTGATATCCACTTGTTTCACACTGTCATCAATGCCACATGTATACAGAGAGTTGCCTATTATCTTCATCCCATTGATCTGGTTCCCATGACCAACTCCTTGGATCCTATCATTCTCTCCTGCATCAGAAGGTCCATAAAATGCTTAGAAATGCAGTTTATTCTAAAAATACTAATATAAAAATATATGCAGTGAAGCTTATCAATTTAGACTGACAAATATAAACTTCTTACATCTCATTAACAAGATTTTTTAGGTAAAAAAGGAACACCCTTATGTGAACTCTGACTACAGCATCAAGATGTGCCTATTCTTATTTCTTGCATGATATTTGCATCTAATAAAACAATATCTCAATTAAAACAGTAACTTTTGTGTAGCCCTTTTTAGGCCACATTGTTTGTATCTTAATACCATATATAATGCACGGGTTCCCCCCCCCAAATTCGGCTTAGTGGGGGGTGGAGTCCAACTGGGTCCACTCGGCACGGCGGCTACTGATTGGCCTACTGTAGCCTGCCCCGGGTGATTATGATGATGGAGAATTTGGTGGAATGAAGTTTGGCAGGGTAAACTGAAGTACTCAGAGAAAACCTGCTCCAGCATCACTCTGTCCACCATATATAATTCACATTACAGTGTTGCTGAAATTCTCTTTACAGACTGACTGCAAGTGGGCTTAATAAACTGCAAAGAATACCACTGGAAACTATTTGCACTACATTATGGAATACACTTATATTTTGTTAAACATGTCATGATCTTCATGGAGTTGCAAATTCAAGTTTCCATGTGTATTAAAAGCACTGATGTTGCAATTATTAACTGTTAACATGTGAATATTAATTACATACAGGAATCCAACCACCAAACAGTTCTGGAGGCAAAACCAAGGGGGCTGTATCTCTACTGCTGATTATGCTACCAAGTTGAGTTTCAGGCTTCTGCAGCCATGTAACTGACATTCAGGAAGCCGTTCACCCAGTAATTTAAATGCTGTTGAGTTTGAAGTCAATTGAAAGTGGAAGAAATCATACTAGAAGTTATGAAATAGAAGTCAATGCCTGTCTGCTATTCATGTTCTCTCAGAAATATTACTCTTTAGCTTCTCTGTCTGCTGGCCACACATAATAAGATTAAATAAGACTTAAGTAAATGGATCGTTATGCAACTACAGAAGCCTGGAAACTTACTAAACATCAAAAGTCATATAAAGATATGAGCCCCATCATTTCAATAAAAGAACTATTTGGTAAATAAATCACTGTGAATTTAGAAGCCTGTAACACATACCATAATATAAAACATATCACTGCTTTCACAATATGATCTATCCTACTTCCAGAGTTCTTTCAGAATTATTATGAACATGTAGATTCACAGCTGTACTTTGCAAAATATATTTAAAATCTAGGAAAACAGAAACTAGCCCAAAGTCAGACATGACTGACTTTAATGCAGATAGTCTACTGTGGCCCACATTAAGAAAATACTGTAGTCTACAAGGGTAAGTCAGGAAGTATCTGCAAAACATTCACTTTTACTTTTTTGCAGCTGGTCCCACTACAGAATCTGCATGCAACTGTAATAAAACATCCCTATTTTTGCAGTAATTTATTTGACCTTCACCATTCAGTAGTCTTTCATCACTAGTGCTATCAACATGGCCACCTCAGTTACCCCAGGTACCAAGTAAGAGCAATGTGGAGTGATCTAATTTTTATGGGCTGAGGTTTTGGCAGGTGCAGAAATTCACTGAAGACTATCAGCACACTACACTGACTGTTATTTTCCCATCAGTGTGGATGAATGCCCTGACTGTTCATCATCAGTGACACATGACTGGCTTATGAACATTGCAATCCATTCATACCTCCTTCACTGTGGCAAATACTGTTGCTGTACTGTGCTGATAGTCCTCAATAAATTTCTGCATCTTATACATCTTCAGCCCATAAAAATCAAATCACTGCACACTGCTCTTCTTTGCAGTGGCGTGCGGTACTATTTTTTGTAAGGGAAGCAGTGGTATCTAATAAATGAACTGATAACAATCAACTCACCAAAATTTATTTGAAGACCAAATCTATTCTCCGGTCCTTAGCAGCAAAATTATCGATGACATGGTCGTAGAAGCCTTCACTGTTGTGACTGTTTTCCAATGATTTCTTCTCAATGGACAACAGAGACAACCTGGACATTCTACCTTCCCCTTGAGAGTTCCTCATGTAAGTTTTAATTCTCTTCAGTGCAGAAAACGAACATTCAACTGAAGCACTACTTGCAGGAATTGTCATGATCAGTTCACATAACTTTGTCTGCTGGTGTACTGCACTGTTGATGCAGCAAAAGCTGACTTGCATTCTGGATGTTTAAATCTTCATTAGAATAAAATACACTCAGTTCACTTCTTAAACGAGGAAAATTGAAGTGCTCACCATATGCCATTTTCAGTGACAAAAAAAGAATTTCAGGAAATGTCTTTTCATACTCCTTACTGCAACTAGGATTTACATTGGGCAATCCAAAAGTTTCCGAAATTTGAATTTTGCGCGTGAATGGTTATGAGTACATCGAAATACCGCTAGGTGTCTCCTCACACATCTTTCTTGAATCAGTGTGGCAAGCGGCATCAAGTTGAGTGGTTGGGTTTATTGTTGGTGAACGTATTTCCATTGTTGTGTTTCCGTGAGTATGCAGTTTTGCGGTGGCTGATCTGAGAGAGCAGCGTGTCTGTATAAAGTTTTGTTTCAAACTTGGGAAAACCGCGGCAGAAACGCACCAAATGTTGAAGCAAGCTCTTGGTGAAAACAGTTTAGGCCAGACACAAACTTACAACTGGTATAAGCGTTTTAAAAATGGCCGAACATTGACTGATGATGACGATCATTCAGGACGGCCGTCAACGGGCAAAACACCAGAAAATGTCGAGAAAGTTAGGGATCTGATTCTGCAAGATTGTAGACTGACCATGTTCTAAGGCGTTTGAGGGAGAACGTGAGGAGAAAACGTCCAGAGAAGTGGCACACGAACGACTGGGTACTCCACCATGACAACACACGACCGCATACAGCTTACATTGTGCAGGAATTTTTGGCTAAAAACAAGATGGCAGTTGTTCCCCACCCACCGTACTCGCCAGACTTAGCTCCATGCGACTTCTTTCTCTTCCCCAAGATGAAAATCAAGTTGAAGGGGCGAAGATTTGATACAGTTGAGGAAATTCAAGCGGAAACACAGATGGTACTAAACACCCTAACAAAGAAAGACTTCCAGGATGCATTTGAAAAGTGGCAGAAACGCTGGGATCAGTGTATGCACTCCCAAGGGGACTACTTTGAAGGTGATTGTGCAGAATAAGATCTAGGTAAGATGTAATAGTTTTTATTAATATATATGGGGAACTTTTGGATTGCACCATGTACTAGTTTTTCTAAGTTCTGAAACCTTAATTCAATTTGATTCACAACATTATCAAAAATCTCATAATAAAGTTTTCTGAATCATTTTTTTATGTCTCCTACATTGTCAAGATGCAATCGTTTGCTCTGTGGTTCATCAATTTCTTCATTCGAGGACGTTTCGGAGACTACATTCTCGAAGATTTCTCTTTTCTTGGCTATATCTTCTTTTCCTTTGGTCAGTTTACAGATACAAAAAGATATGTCATTTTTGTTTGTAGTATATCGAAAAGAACGGTGGTTACTTAAAATAAATCTTTCAAAACAGCAAGTAGAAAATTAAAGTTGAAATCTTGCAGCACAGAAAGAAATCCTGGAGTGGCAAAGTATGTTTCATTATCCCAGTTATCTGGATTTTCAATTATATTTTGGAACATGGTGTTCAATTCAAATTTGTACTTGTTTACTGTCTCCACTAGACGACTGTTATAGTCCCACCTGGTTGGTGTGACTTTCGGAACCCTCTTTTTCACTTCTTGATCCAAATAATACGTCCTTTCAGAAGATGCAGAGAAAAAGGAAGAAAAGCTGTTCAGTGTTTTGAAAAACACATTGCACTCTTTTAATACTGGAGACAAGACTGTGAAAGTACAAGATTAAGCTTATGTGCCACACACTGTATGAACATGGCATTTGGAAACGTCTCTCACTTTTGTTTGTAGCCCATTAAGTTCACCTGACATGACTGCTGCCTCATTATACGTTCGTGCCACTATTTTGCTGCCAAAACCATACACAGTCTATAACGCATTCTGCTAACGCTGATGCAGTTCAATCAGCACTCACATCCAAAAATCCTAAAAACCGTTCTTGTATTTCACCATCACTAGTTGCATATCTTAATACAACTGAGAGCTGAGATTGGCTTCAAATGTCAGTCATCTCATCAACCATTACAGCAACAAAAGGGGCCGAGCTTGCTTCCCTTTTTATTTCTGTTAGAATTACGTCACTTATTGAGTCAATAAGATCATTTTGTATTCTGTTCGATAAACCTGTTCTCAAGGTGAACATTGAGTTTATGATCATATTTCCTCAACAAGTGGACTAATTCCACATAATTACCTCGGTTGATAGAATCCATGCTTTCGTCATGACCATGGAGGGCAAGTTGCCACTATCCTAAATGGCAGATGATATCAATCAAGCGTTTCATTATTTCTCTATTTTCTTTCACATTTTCATTATGCTGTAGTATCGTCAGACACTTTTGACCGTCAAGTAGACAGTCAATTCGAGATTTCCGAACATATCAAGTTGCACTGTTGAAATAATATGAGTCTGAGAGTTCTCATGTCATTTCAATGCTTTATGAAGTTTGTTGATATCACCAAACCCAGTCTTGTTCCATGCATTTTTTCATTGAGAAACAATAGGCATGGCCAACAAAATAATTTTCCTATATTATGGCAACTGGATAGCCACTCTGTTTTAGAGTACTGCTCCAAATTAAATTTCCTCACACATAATTTGGTTTGTGCTTTAAGTTTCTGCAACTTGCATGTCAGTTGTCCCCTTTCTATAATTATTTTCTTTTCAAAAAAGTCCCTGCTCTTAAAGCCCCGTTTTAAAAGGCTTTCAAATGCACAGTCACAGTCAAATTGTCTGCCAGCATTCATTTTAGCTGTGCCCTGTGTGTGTAGTCTAATCACTCCCCTGCCACTTGTACCACAATATCACACTTGCTTCCCTTAAACGTGGCCAGCTTCTTTCTGATGTGTCAAAATACGATCACAAATACAATCATACGGCATCTGAATATGCACTTACAATATTTTAATAAAACTTAATGTTACCTATAACACCCAACAAGACTGAAATCACACATAAACAGTTAATTTTCACATAACCATTGAAAGAACACATTCCTTCGCTTCTATATCACAGGCCTAGCCAGCAATCTGAAATTTGCTTCCCTGACAACTTCAGGTGAGACAAAGTCATACGAAGATTAATGAAGGGAAACTGGTCCCTCCCCCCAAACAGGGGAAGGGAGGAGGTGGGGGGAGGCATGTGGCCTTGAGCATCACCACCCACTAAAATGTTCAGAACAGAACATGACAATATTCACATCCTTATTTTTCAAATTGAATTATTTACATATGACTTCTTTTCTTTTTGTTTTTTTCAACTGTGGAAGCAATGCTTACCTTGCTTCCATGCACAGCACACCACTGCTTCTTTGGTGCATGTGGTAAGCAGAGTGGCCAAGTTCATGCCACGACTGGTGAAATGCAACCATATGGTGAAGGTACGTCATTACAACAAGAAGGTTCTGTGCTTATGGTTATGTGCCCATTCAGAACTGGGACCAATCCCTTGCTGTACAGGTCAAAGGGTAGGCATCAGATGAAAAGAGACACCAAAAACCAAAAACTGATGCCGGAAGCAGCATCTTGAAGCACAGAGCAAATGATGCCCAAGATGGTTCAAGTTCGTATAGCAACAGGCGTGACCAGAGTGGTTTGAATGGCTGTTGTACTGCAATGTGGAAAGCAAATGGAAAAACTACCACATTATCACTTTTCCTGGATAGTCTCTTTCCAAAAACAGAGATACCATGTATGCGAGATGTTTCATCTGGAGACAAAAAAAAAGAGGAGGGGAGGATAGAAGTGACCAGAAGACGTAAGAAGATGCTAGATGACCTTGGGGACAGAAGAGGATATACAGTAAAACTCGGTTATAGCAACATCGGTTTCTGCGACACCTTGTCTATTGCGTCAAATATTCAATGGTACGAACTAATTCCTCATAAAGCAACTGTTTTTATACCTTGCTTAGTACGACATGCACAAATGCATCAACCTCGTATGTAACGTCATTTTCATTCCTGAATTTCTCTGATATCGTGGGAAAGTTCGAAGTGTCTGCCCACCCTCACTTTCTCTACTTGCTGACGTGACTGTCCTGGAAGAATACGACCGCGGGCTGCAAGAGGAGCGTGGGTTTTATGCGAAAACAAGGGTGTGGGGTGGGACTGCGTGAATAGTGCAAGAGGACGCGGCAGGTTGTTAACTGCATTCCTTTCCTAGAATCTCGTCTAACAGGACCTCACATTGTCTACTTACCCTATAGTGTTCCTGCCTAAACCCAGAGAAGTGCAGTAGCGAAAACATGGCAATGAAAAGGAAAGTTTTAAGCATTGAAGAGAAAGTTAAAGTGATTCGTGAAATATTGTGTGTATTGTCAGTGAAAAGCGCTGTAATATGTCTTTGATATTACACATTTGGGCAATTCCACGTTAATGTTACGTTAGTCTGTACTTAACTACGTATTTCACTAAAAAATGCAACATTTTAACTCGGTTTTTGGTAGATTTTTACATGACTAACATAAGGCTACTGTGGAAGTGCCCATTTCGGTTACAACAACATTCATTTATAACGACACTATTTTTAGGTCCCTTTGATGACGTTATAACCAAGTTCTACTGTATTTATTTGATGGAGAAAGTTTGTGATTGCATTAAGTGGAGGAACTGTTTTGGAAGAGACTGTGGAACTGTCGTCTGACAGATTACTGATGAATGAATGTTTAATTCTTCACTGTGAAAAAATATTTAAATATGGATTCTATAGACCGCAAAAATGAAGAAACATTTCTCAGTGAAGCTTTATATCATATCCGATACTCTGTATTCAGTTTATTATCTAGCACTCTCAAGACGACAAACACCACTGTAAATATACGACCTCTGCACTTGTAATTTTTTTGTTAAACATATTTCAGATTAACAGGAGATACAGGTGGATAAGAATTTGCTCAAATATAACTGAGCTTCACGGAGATGTCAATTCCAACAGCTGTATACATTGGCGGCATTGCTGTCATAATCATTACAAATAGAGTAACCAACTTGGCTTCCTACACTGTACAAATCTGTATATGTTTTAACCCTGAGATAGTGATCTGTTGGTTTTGGGAACAGATACCAACAGAAATCTACTTCATTTCAGATTACAGCACTTATATATGATACTACTGAACTGGCCTATGTGGACACATTTAAGGCACTTGATTTGAAGAAAACCTCCCAAATATTTATAAACTAACCCATTCAATAAAAAATGAGAACTACACCTCCCATTCTCAAATGTTACCAGCACTTGCATAATAGCAATAATGCATTGAAGAGAAGAGGCTTCACTCATTGTGGGAGTAGTTTATACAATGATCAGAATGTGACAGAACTGCCTGTTATGTGTTAAGGCCAAAAGTTTGTTTCTATGGAAACCCGCCCACAAATATACACAAGTCTCTTATGTTAACACTTCATGGACCGGTGATTTAAATATATGAATCACCCTGGGGACTGGCATTTTTAAACATACTACCCTAACTTGTGCACTGTTCACTTTAAAAATTAATATAAAATCTCCTAATTAATTTTTTGAGCTAAAATTTTTGGAGAACACTTACCAATGCTCCTAGAAGTGCTTGAGGGTGATATTTCTGGAAACATTCCTCTTTGTGAAGTGGCATTACACAGAACTTGCAAATGTAGACATACTCCTTTTTTTGTGAACTGCGCAAACACGGCACTGCCTAGAAGTATTCTTCCCCTTGGAATGTTCACTTTTCACAATTTTCACGAGGGTATTTTTCCGCATATCACTCAAGTTTCGCCCTGGGGGGTCCACATGAGGCCTTCGTGGGGTCGGAGTTGATGGGCCCGGTTGTACTAAGTCTTTGTGTGATCCTGGTTCTGCCGCCACCATCTGGACTGTAGCCGAGGCCTTTGCCACATTCATCAGAAATGCTTTGTATTTCAATTTTGAATCAGGGTTTAGATTTTTTTTAGATTTTTTGCTGTCCCCGCAATGTTACTACACGCAATGTTATTACCCGCATTATCGTCGGAGCTACTGTCACTTTTACTGTCTGTGGCCACAATTCTTTGTTATCCCCCATCACTGTCGCTGTCTGAATGACAATTAATCCATTACTACGCATCTCACAAGGCAGGTCAGCTAGGTCATTGGAGGAGAATTTGTCCTTGATCCATTCTCCCCACTAGCTACTGGCTGATACACACAGCTTGAAGAAGGCAAAGCATTTTCCTTTATAGTCGGTTAAGTAAACAGCGATGTCAAGTTACTGACTGATAACTGAACATTCCAGAGTCTTATCATGCATCTGCAGGCAGTTGCGTGCAATGTAGGTGGCGCCAGAGAGATGTATAGTGTGTTGCAACTTATCGTGTTCTAAAAGCCTGTTAACACGCAAACGGTCCGCCACGTTTAAAAGCGAAAAACCTTTTAAAGGGTGCACAGTCCGAAAAGTGTTAAGGTAGCCAAGGTTCACCACAGTACAAAGTGGAGAAATATGGTTTCCATTCATTATGACAGGGAAATGTTTTTAATATTAAGCTTAATATAGTGCAGATGGAGTTGTGTGAAATTTAAAGTGGAATAATTCTGAAGAATTTAATAGCACTGACAGGCAGTGGTGGTAATGCTAAAGTGAGGCTGTTTGACTCACCTTAAGTAGCTATGTTATGTGTTACATTCTGAACCAACAGTTCCTGGAGAGTGTCTGCAAATGCCGTATGAAATCCTATATATGGAATCTATAGAATTTCATAAAGTATTTGCACATTCAACATAATCGCTGCCTCAGGAGGATGAAAACCAAAAGGATAGTTAGATACTAAAGGTTTCCTGCTACAGTTCACACAGCAAGTTTCCACAATTTTCTTTCAAGAATTCAAATGCTGAAGTTTTCAACTGCTTTATTACCTTAATTCTGTATTAAGTTTTTGTATTTCACCAGTTAGCAGGACATGCTTGTTAATAAAACTAACATAGACATTTCAGTGGATGAATGACAATGAAATACACAAAGTAACACTGCCTTTAACTGCAATTAACAGGTTTCCAACATGAAAAAACTGGAAGGAAAACAATATAAATTAGGAAACCGCAAGGATGGACAAAAAGTTAGTGGTGTCACATGGGAATTTGCAAGTATGTATGCATATTGCAACTGATTTTTCTTATTCACCTGTTTCAGAATCCCAGTGGGAGATGAAGCCATCATGTGAGCCTGTGTAGATTTTTTTCCGATCTGGACTCAGACAGAGAACAGTGATTGGCTTGTTGTGACCCTGGCAACATGCACCAATGTTGTGTCAAACAATCATGTGCACACAAATCTAGCAATTCCCAACTGTCCTGTAACCATCTGTTAGTTGTAGCAACTGCATATCTTTTGTGCTTTAATCAATATCTGAGTCTTAGTCTTTTAAAGTGACAGCTTATAAATCATCCTATCAGCAGCAAAGGCTAAAATTTTCAGGATATACAAATATATAAATTTTAAAATCCAATATTCTCATTATATGTAAGTTTGAACAATTTTTATTTTAAAACTTAAAAAAGGCCAGTCTTATCATGCAACATAAATCAGGATAATCTCTTATTGCTTTCATAAAATCCAATATTCTCATTATAAGTAAGTTTGAACAATTTTTATTTTAAAACTTAAAAAAGGCCAGTCTTACCATGCAATACAAATCAGGATAATCTCTTATTGCTTTCACAATCTAAAAGAGAACTGGACAGTATGATTCTTGGCTCTGGTGGCTATTTCTCAAAAATAATTCATCACACTAGAAAATGTACATAATACAACATGCTTATTTCACTGAGATCTGCATATGTTACCTGCAAACCTTCTTTAATCTGGTGGACTTCACATTAGGCAAGCATTCAACATTATACTCGTACGTAGGCCTCCAAGAGATGAAGTGAAGCTCCATCCATATAAAACAGCTATGGTTATACAGCTACTTGTGCTCATTCTCTAGCTCAGTTTTAACACTCCTACACACAGGTTCTGAACCATGCAAAAGTATAGACAAAACTGCCGCTGTATATGTCAGAATGCAGGCTTTCATTCTAGTACACAGAAATAGTGACAGTTTGCACAGTTTCAATTTGTTGGCAGGAAAAAAGCACAAATGAACATGAAGAAACTCAAGCTGTAGCCTCAGGTAAGTCTTTTAAGTGAATCAATTAAAAACTGGTCACAAACAAATTAATTAAATCTTGTAAGCCAAATAATTAAAGCATACAACTTCATTATGATCCTACAAAATAAGATATATATATACACACATAAAACATTTCTAGACTTAGGATCTTTAAAAAAGACAAAATGGAAATTGGAGGAAGGGGAGATTGGAAATGTACTATTTTTAATCCAGTGGTTATAGTATCAGAGTGTGCTATATGACAAAATTCAAAATGCTTTCACATCTTGACAAAAACTGAAAGCATACATAGTGGAACCCCAATTTAAGATTTTCCCCCATTTACTGTTCATTTTTTGGGTCCCTGCAAAAGTCCCAGATACACAAACATAAATTACTCCATTTTAGTGTTTCTTGATTTAGGATTTTACTTGCATTTAGTAGAGAAAATTCAGTCCCTACAAAATACAAAAATACAGATAAAGTTTTTCTGTGAAAGAATCAGACTTTATTTCTAATGGGTCAGGGCTGAAATGTGGGCTTCATTACCTAAAGTGCCATTAAATGCATAGCACTAACAGGAAAATTTAACATTTGAATTACCTTTAGTATTCGTATATGCTTATTAGGATTGCTGACATCAAGATAATTGATGAAGCCACTAAGTGACACTGACAGCAGATACTGGCCCTGCCATAAGCACGAAACCTGCAATAAAAGAACACATAATTAAGTAAGATCTAAAAGTTTGTGACAATGGTACACTAGTACAAATATTATGTTTCTAGACATCCATCATCCTGTTTTTATCTAAAACACCATCCTTTTTATATTTCAAAATACAACTTTCCAGAGCCTGGATTCTGTCTCTGTCTTCATGTAAAACCTACTCAGGTGGGACCAATCGATAGAGCTAGTCCCTTCCTCTGGAGATTAGGGCCAAATCGATGGAGCTAATCCATGTCTCTAAGTAGGTTTCACCTGAAGATGGAGACAGAATCCTACAGGACCTGCAGCAAACCACAAAAATTCTCAGTCAGGATGCCAGTCACCAGATTGAAATTTGAACCAAACAGCTCTCACACTTTAGAGATGTGCTGCCACTACACCATATTTTGTATCAGAGTTGGTTGGTTCAAGAAAAGCATGAACACATAGCAAACAACCATGGGCAAAAAAACAACTACAACATTGTAAAGCGGTGAAAAATATAAGTGCACAGGAAAAGTCTTTGAAGACTGTCGTAAGATTTTCTCATATACCAGTATTAAATTCAAAACTTTTATCATCTTGGCTATTGCTCTGGGGAGGAATGATTCCTTTTCTCAGTTAACTTAAGCCTTTTATGTTACTTCCAAAAGACTTGTATTTCTAGCATTCATCAATTCTGACATCAGTTTACCTGCTGGTCTTCCACCTGACTACCCATCACAAACTCTGTTATCACAGATCTTGTTTCTACATCCCACAACTTGCAAGTCTTATCACCTGATGCAGTGAGGACTTGAGTGCCATCTGGTTTCCAGGCAACCTGTAATGCATGAGAAAATTCTTATATTCACCTGAGGAAGAACTAGGCAAATCATGGAGGAAACATGAAAAGCATACAACATTTTGGTCAAAGTATTACATGGAAAGACTTCAGAGACCTAGGTATGGATGAGAGCATAATTCTAAAAGCAGGCAAAAAATGGATCTTAGACAAACAGGTTGTCAAGAAATGAACTAGATGATGCTGAACTCCAAAGTTTCATAGTGGAGAGTTTTCTTTACTGTCTTAATAAATGTCAACTGCCGTTTGGTGTTTTCCTGCACTCAAATTTGATAGATTTTATGCTGAATCATAATAAGATTAGTAATCACATAAAATATTTCATGAAAACCGTATGCTGTTCCAGTGAGTATGCCATCTTGATCACTGTTGCTTCATGACACTGCCACCAGTGTGAAATTTAAACTGAAGTGTCTTTTCAGAAAGACCCCACATGATGATTGGAGGAAGGAATAGGTTTTCACATTATATATGCCTGTGGGTGTATGAAGACAATCTGGAAGGATTTGAGGATTTTGTGTGCAATGACAATTACCTCCAAGCAACATTGGTGTTTCTAGTAGGTAGTTCCTGTGGTAGGGATTGGCAGTCAGAAGGGTTCATAATGATAAATTAAGTGGAAACTTTAGTCAGAAAGAACTGAGACATGATTAAGATCTGGACAATGAATTGGGAAGGAATGGGGAAAAGAAATAGTTGTGGCCTACCTCAAGATACCCAAGACAAGATGAAAACTAATTACTTTAAAATTAAAAATCAGGCATATTATCACTGAAACAATCTGTTCTATTCATAAACTGTTGATCAGACTTTGTCAGAGGAAATGTGAAGCAAAAGAAAGTAAAAGAAGGAGTTCAATTAATTTCATGCTTCTGTGCCATACATCTGTCCTGCAGATTCTGACTCCAAGAACATAATTATAAATTCTAAGGCAAAGAAAAAAAGAGGGCTATGAACTAGCAGTCATCTGTAGGAATGACAACAAATACTGAAAACGAACAAAGATAAAGAGTCTCAGTAAATGATGCAGTGCAAATCGTACACATCATGACATAGCAATCAAGCAAATTGGCTCAATTGGTAATGCTTCTGACTTGTGTTCGGGAGGTACCTAGTTTGAATTTTGGCCATTACACTTGAAAATCCTGAGGTATTTTCCTCATACCCTTTATTCAGATGTTGGAACAGGAACTCAAATTAAGCTACAATTGCTTCCATCCTCATTTTTCCAATTCATTATTCACTAATCATCCTATCAGTTGATGCTACACAGTCTAAGCCAATGATTCTCAACCGCTGGGCCATGGCCCAGTACTGAGCCCTGGTGTCAATTATACCAAGCCCTTGTCTTGTAGAAAAAAGAATCTACCTGCCCGCGATCTGACCAAGGTTAAGAACCCCTGGTCTAAGCTACTAACACTGCTGTTAAATGAGCCATAAATAAATAGTAAAATAAATTGGCATTTTCTGTTTTATACTTACAGCATATACACCACCTTTATGGGCAGGTGATCCTATTTCTCCAATCAGGTCAGCTGATGAACCATCATAAATAAATACTTTTCCATCAAATCCAGCTGAAGCAAAATGACACCCACTCGGTGAATATCTCACAGCTTGCACAAATCTTGTATGATCCTATGAAAGTTATAAAATATGTAAGAAAAATGAGGAAGTAATGTTGAATACCATAAGGATAAACCGTTTATTGTAACATCATGAATTTGGTTAATTCCTAACACATTATTGACTGAAAACCTATAAAGTATCACCCTCCTTCACTCTGACATACTTCAATGTGAGCATTTTTCTTTCAATAAGAAGAACTGCAAAAATGTATTCATAGAAAAATAAAGCAACTCCTCCTCCAACACTCACCTGAAAGTAGTGCTGAGGTCAAGAAATTGTGTATCTATACATCCACTACCCCACATGCCTTCATGGCGTAGTGCGTATGCTTAATTAGTTAAGCACAGGGAAAATTTTACCTTTACCTTTACCTCCTCCAACATCTTTGCTTATACATTCAGAAACTGTTGTGGCATATGTTACCACATGATCTGTTTACATATAGCACAATGAAGAATGAGGAATCCAGATGTAACAGACATAACTATGCATTAGAACACTACTGCCTGTATTCTATTTCTCACACTTCTGCTGTCAATACCATATATGCATTCACTGTTATTTGCATGTTGTTTACTTACAGCTAGACAACAATAACAACAGCAATGCTCTTTTCTGGAAAGAAAGGTATCACTACTCAGTCATGGACAGATATGATTACTCATTTTTTTAAAGTCTTTAAAAAAATAAATAAGCAAAAAATTGGAACTCAAGTTAAAATACAATGTTTATCCTTATTTTTCCCCGAATTTTCATTTTTTATAACAGGCTTTATTTTTTTTGTTTCGTGAGAGGGGAGTGCTAGAACAATGCACCATGGCATACTACTGGAAAAAAAAGCCCTGATCAGGAATAATCATGGAGCTTCAATATGTATATCTTCTCTCCTTAAAACAATGGCAGATTTTGTTCTTATTAATCCAGAACATTTCATCTTAATATTAACTTTATCCACTGCAATATGTGAAGGCTTGATTTGTAGATTTTTACATCAACCTGCAGGCTGTGATATTAAGTGTATCAAACATTCAGATTTCTGTACTTAGTTCAGCTTCAGAAAGAGGACTGTCACCACTTGTTCCAAATCATGTGTTTGATATCGTCAAGAGATACATATTTACTTATGTTCTGAAGAATTTTAAAATACATTCATAAAAAGAAATTATGAAAAAACATCAAATTTTACTATCCAAGAATACCACAAAATAGATTCAACCAATGAACAACGTCTTATAAAGAACAAATGCTTAGAGAAATGATGTCTACCAATTACTGTACCTTAAATGCTATATCAAAATAGTTTCCTGAACTGATACAACCTTCAAGAGAGGGGCCATTTAAATTCCCATAATGGCAGCAGGCCAGAGTTAATTTAAATGTCCGCCATTGTAGAGTATTAAAAATTGTAAGCATGTTACTGAAAATGCTGTGATTTCTACAATTTCTACAATAAACAAACGAAATAAACACTGCTTTTATCTAGAAAGAATGTGGAATCAGATATTGTAATTTACAGATTTTAAAATCTGTAAAAATTGTTACACTGATTCCAAAAAATTTTTCCCCCAATTTCAAGCGTCTGTCCACAAATATGCATACAGTTCCTGCACAAAACGTTTCTGCAGTATAAATGCATGCTGCTGATATCCTGTCTTACTATGTCCTATCTGACAAAAGGGGTGGAAGTTTATGTTTGTATTGCACATTCTCCAGTCACGTTGGAACCTTTCTGTATGCACGAGTGTGGGCGAAGTCTTATCGTACTTTGTCCTTCAGAAATTCTGTGTATATCTCGCACTAGCCACACAGAGATACTGTTCTCGGAATAGCCCCATATTGCCCCCTTGCTTCCTCGCCACTTTCAGAGTCATCAGCACAGCATTCTGAATCGGTGTCATTTATCAGCGGCCTCTCAATTTCGGCTTCTTCCATGCGAAATGGGGCCATGGTGGATAGTTGAAATTGCAGTATTTTATAAGCGTTACGATTAGAGGAGGCCACTCAACATCACTGGCCGACTTCCTCTAATATGAGACTGAGGTGTTGTGTGTGCTCTTCGCGTGGGAAACAGAGTTACATCCGGACAAAGTGCATGAATTGCGACGTCGGACTCTGCATTCAGTTAGATGACACAGGAGGGAAGACTGTCAACTTATAAAGCGGGTGCCCAAAAATAATGTAAGTAGAACAAGATTTCTATCTTAAAATTAGATTTTAAAACACTGTACGCACGCGTGGACTGCGCATACCCATACGGTGTCGCACGGCCACTCGGCTACATTTTAAAGGTGTCCATACGGTGCCGCTAGACTCTTAAAGGATAATGAACAGCCTGACACATATACGCACAGATATAATTTTCAGAATAACAGGAGCAAAAAGAAAAATACCTGCTTTGTCATCTTGAATTTGAATGGTGGACCTTCAAACACACCAATTGTATTGTCTTCACAACCTGTCACAATTCGGAATGGTCTTGCTGGGCGAAAATCACAAGAGTTGATTGATTTTGACTGTCCTGATATTTCACCTACAGAAGTGCCAGTCTCTGCCATAAACACATGTCCAAACCTTGCAACACAAATAACAAGGTGATGTCTGGAACTCATTCAGTTACTGCTTCTATATACTTTACATATTTCATATGAAATGAGATACAGCCAGAAAGATGTATTTCAATTTGAAGTACTATCTTTAAATATGTTCTTTGCAATTAATCTGGATAGTAATTTACAGCAATACATCAAAACATAAAACAGATCTTTTCTCATATTCTGTCAAGACACACCATACAGGATTATGTTCCAAGGAAACATTATGACTAGGTGATTTCACACATATAGGTCTATTACACAACTTCTACAGTCAGATGCTATAAAAATTATTTTAAAATTAGCATAAAGTTGAGGTTGTAGTGAACTAAAATGTACAAGAACAAAATTCAGGCAGAAATTTTAGTGTTCACCTCTCCTATAGTAAATATTATTGATATTCAGTGATATATGTGGTGAAACATGCAGACAGGGAGGCATGACCTTCACATTATGTGTTTATATTTGTATTGAGTGTAAAGAATTTACAGTTAATAACAGACAAAGAAAAAAGATCTTCTGGTGCATTACTGTAATAAAGGCTTCCTCAACTCACAAAATATGTGCAAGGGTATCCACTGATGCCTGTGGGCAGGTTGTTTGGGTGCAGACAAAAAACAAAGGAGAAAAATCAAAGTTGTCTGAGTATGCATAAGGTCATACACTAGGCTAGCACTGAGGACTTTGGAAATTGAAAGTAACAACAGACATGGGAAATACAGTTATCCCTTTTTTGCAAATTTTTGCTGGAGTGAAGCATTCTAATTCGTACCTATTTTTCACTTAATTAACTTCATTTTCACTATAACAAAAAACTTGTACACTCAACACTCGATTATCCGGGGGTGGATAAACCGGTTTGTGGCTTAACCGGGGCTTTTTTCAGGCTTATATGTTGTTTAATATTCATTCACTTTTGTTTCACATGGTGAGTTTTAACACTATTTTCGCACTTGTGTGCACTGAGCTCTGCATTTCTTGGTCCCGTTATGCTAACACAATGTTCTAGGGTAGGGGTGAAAGAATGCAAGGATTTGTGGAAAGTTTCAAGGACAGATACACCGTCCCAGTTAGTCTCTTTGTATCGATCTTCAAGTGCGTTAGCAAAATGTCAGGATGTAAAAGGAAGCGTGTTGTGTTAAGTATTCAACAGAAACTTGAAATTATCAATTAGTTGGGAAAAAGAGGTATAGTTAAACAATTAGCAATGCAATACGGTATTGGAGAACAAACTGTTCGTGATTTGAAAAAAACAAAATAATTAATTAATTTCCTTTGCTTCATCATCTAATTCAGGCAGAACGAAGAAGAGAAAAACCATGAAAAAATCAACATATGATGATCTCGACAAAGCAATGCTGATCTGGCTTAACCAACTAAGGGCACAGGAAACAACAATAACAGGAGCAGTTTGTGCTAAACAAGTTATTTTTTTTTCCAAAGCAATTGAACTACAAGGAAGTTCTGACACTTCTTCCGGTTGGCTAACACGTTTCAAGCAGCGTCATGGAACACGAGAAATTAGTAATCAAGGTGAGAAATTGTCAGGGGACTTGTCATCATCAGTTCAATTTTGCACCAATTTTGATATTTCGTGAAAAATGAAAATCTGCTACCAGAACAAATCTATAATGCCAATGAAACAGGTCTTTATTGGAAATGCTTGCCAACTAGAACTTTGGCATTTCAAACTGAAAGACAGGCTCCAGGTCACAAATCCAGTAGGGAGAGATTGACAGTCTTGTGCTGTTCTAATGAATCAGGAACACACAAACTAACACCAGTAGTTATCGGTAAAGCGAAAAGACCACGCTCTTTTAAAGGAACAGTAGCTTCAAGTCTGCCTATCCATTATTTTAACCAGAAAGTAGCTTGGATGAATAGAGCGATATTTAAAGAATGGTTTGATTTTAAATTCGTGCCTCAAGTTCGTGACCATCTAAAATCCCAAAGCCTACCTGAGAAAGCTCTGCTCCTCATAGACAATGTGCCCTCACATCCTAACGAAAGTCTCCTGAGGTCAGATGATGGAAATATTTTCCTCCTAATGTTACTGCACTTATCCAACCAATGGATCAAGAGTTATCCTAAGTATGAAGAGAATCTACAGATCAAATTTGCTACAAAACTACATCGATGAAGGCAATGATCTGACATGAAGAAAGCAGTCTTCTGGGATTTGGCACCATGTATATGTGGTGTTAACCGACGTTTCGGAGGAACGTATCGCCTCCATATCGACTGCATAGCAGTCTCCTTTTACCGGTTCTCACGGTCTCTTCGCTTGCAGATTTCTTATTTTTTCTTCTACCCTGAAGATGGAGGCGATACGTTCCTCCGAAACGTCGGTTAACACCACATATACACGGTGCCAAATCCCAGAAGACTGCTTTCTTCATAGTCACCGCCGTGAAAGCCTCTAATCTTACAATGATCTGACATGTTTCAGGAAGTCTTTTTCAATGTTAGATGCCATATACGAGATTTCAACAGCGTGGGATACAGTAAAACCATCTGTATTGAAAAATTCATGGAAGAAACTGATGCCTTTCATCACTAATGAAGATGATGAAATACATGGATTCACTGGATTCAGTGAAAATGAGATAGCCATAGAATTGACAAAATTGGCTAACCCAGTTCATGGCAGTGAAGAAGTCAATGGGGAAAATATAAGAGTGGTTTGACTGTGACTTGTGTGAGCTGGGCTTTGAAATGTTAAGCAGTGACGAAATCGTAAGTTCAGTGGGGGTGCAGCCAGAAGAGCGGGAAGAAAGTGAGAATTAGGAAGAGGTGTACAGTGCTGCTAGCAAGAAAATATCACATGGTGCTGCTCTTAATCATTTGGAATCCTTACTAGACTATCTTGAGAGTGAAGAGAACAGTTTATTAAGTGACAAGCTAATATTATGTAGGCTTCATACAAATATCGGTAAAAAGGAAAATGCTGCAAAAAAGAAAACGACAATATTAAATTTCTTTAAGTGTTAAGTGTGAATATTCGTAAAAAGTGTTGGATGTTGTTGAACAGTGTGATTGAAATAACTAATTCATACTTCAGTGTAATATAAAAAAAGTATTAAATAGGCCATGAGATGACATAAAAATGAGGTTCAATAAATTTAAATACAGGTAGGCCTATAGTATTATGAAGGTACAGTATTACAGTACTACTTTTAATAAAATTTGTCTTAACCAGGTTTTCGATTAATCGTGATTTCCATCCCCACCGTTATCCCGGATAATCGAGAGTTGAGTGTATTTGTAAGTTTGGTAAAGTACATGGGAATTTCATTTTTGTTTTATGAATATTCACCTTATGAATAGTTTTCATGGAATGAATTACCTTTGCAAATTGAGACAAATGTACAGGGAATTAGCCTATACTGCATTTAACAAATCTAATTAGCCTACACAATTTGGAAATTTCTTCCATGTGGATCTTCCTTGTCAGGAAGATACTGGCAACTTACAGGAAAGGTTAGTAGGATCTGACAAGACTATACATGGGTAACTACATGATTTTCAATTCAGGATTCAGTTTTTGTTCCATTGATGGCACTGATGGTAGGAAGATATTGTACAGCATGCAAACTTTTAGTTTCTTCTGTACTGGTATTTCAGAATTTGTTGGTTTGCTTTGATGAATTTATTTTCCACTTCCATTTCTGACTTACTTTTAGATCTTCATATACACTTCCACAATTTTTATTCAGAATTTTCCAGTTATCTCCCATTGACAAACCCTGATTGAAAGAATGCACATATACATATTGACGATGGTTGTCCATGGATTTACGTTAGCTCTTTCCAATGGACATTAACAGAACAAGAACTCTCAGTACTCCTGACTAGATCTTGTCCCAATAAGAGACAATGCTACAGGCCTGAATACTCATATTCTTATATTTCCATTCTCTTGTGTAAACCACTACAGATAATATTTATGGTTCTATTATTTTTATTGTTTGCATCCTGTTGTGTGTATTACAACAAACAAGATATTAAAACCTTTTACATGTCAGCTGTCAACTCAGCAAATGTATTGACTTCGCAGTTAAACGCAACATAAAAAAAGGATTGAATATTAGGAACATAATATTAATTGAATATAAACGCAGAACATAGTGTCACGTGATACAGTGACCAAGACACAAATTTGGATTGGCAATAGGATTTACTGGATACTTACAGGCTGTAACTACAAATAATTACTATACTGCTGCCGATTTCCACACTATAAATCACTCGACACTAAGTCATATCAGTTTATTTCCACTAGTCTTTACTTAGTAACAGCTCCCCACAATGGTTATTCCTCTGCCAAGTCTTCACTACACGTCTTCTGGTGACGAATCTTAGCACTGGAGATTATCCCATTTCCACTGCCTGCTGGTTAACACCCCACATGTGAACCCTCCATGGACTCCTGTAGCATCAACTGTCTTCAAGACAAGTCCTTGGCATGGCCCCAACAGGAAACACAGACTCTATTGTTGTAGAGGTGTTTTACCTTGTTGTTGCATAGCAACAGTCGCAGCGAGCACCACATAGAAAATGCCATTCTTCCATTGTTGCATGAATGAATGTTGTGGAAGTTACACAGCAATGGCCAATGTTTACAGAGTCAGTGCTTAGCAACAGGTCTATATGACACATTCCTCCCCCCTCCTTAAGGTTGTTCATCCCAAATAGCCTATCGGCACATCACTGCTTCTTCCTTCTGAAATTTTGCTCATGATGTCACTTTCCTGTGGCTTGGTTCCTCTATGGTGATCACTCTCCAATTGCTACCACTGCTCCCTCCTTAAGGCTGCTAAGTTCCTAGCAGATCCAGGTATAGCACTATCATCCGGCTCGTTTTATGTTTCAGAGGGGACCAACCCCTCCACAATTTCCAGTTCTTGATTTTTCATAACCCACTGGAAGTTCCGACTATTTGTTTCGCGACATTCCCTCTGAAAATCTCATATAGGGTCT